CTGGAAAAGGAAGATAATTACTTGGGTTTTAAAGCAGCAGAGCCAAATACATTTCTCAAGGACATACTAAAGCTGTCAATCAGACCAGTCTTCCTTGCTACAGAACTCAAAAAAAGACACAGTGGTACTTCTGACTAACAGCCTTTTTACCAAACAGTATATGCAAACGAACCTTTGATACAGTACAGAAGTACTACTCATCAACTTGCAATAACATGCTCTGATTCAAAGCCTCAAGTTTAGCCCTTGTCATCTTGAGTCTTAAAAGAAAATTATCAAACTGACTGAGAAGAATGTAGCTCAACTCCCACCCTCAAGAAAAACACCCACCCACCCATCCGCTGCCCCAGGTAACAAGAATCAAGATTTCCATATGTAACATATAGGTGCAACAAATAAAGACAGAGCCCCACGCTGGAAAGAGGCTGTTTTAAGTCAGGCCCTAGGGCCTTCTATCTCAAGGAAACCTTTCCCCCTAGAAACAGCACATCTATTCTGACACAAGAATGTATTCCCAAAATCTTACAGAGGTGCAAAACCCACCACCCTGCTCTCTTATGAGAGAGTCTGCAGACCTATTAGAACTATCAATCACTTGTCTGGGAACTTCAACCAAGTTTCTAGTAAGACAGACAGGAACATGCAAACTCTTAGCATTAAAAAGCCCTTTTTTCCCCATTGTACTTACATTAGCAATATCATTTTCTGTTGCTCGAAAAGGCAGTCCTCTCATGTGAACAAAGTGACCGCCACCATGGAAACCTGAGCCTGCTTCTCCAGCTCCCCCATATCCATGTCCCCCCATGCCTATTAAAAAATCCAAACCAAACAAGACCACACACTTGTAGATCATCCTGAAAAGCCAGGAAAGTCATTACTACCGGTTTTCTGAAAGCACACATTATACCACTGAATGCAAGCTGTTTACACTTCCCATCTATCAACCCAAACACTTAACCAGAATACACCCTAAGCAATGTATTTACCTTTTCCTAAGATGCCCCAATTCCACCCCTCCCCCTCCCCGTTTTGAACAACCTTATTTCTGTACCAAATAATCTGATGAAGTTTCTGACTTGGATATCCTACAACTCAAATAATATATTTTTAGGCAAACTATTAAAAAAAAAAGTTTTACCTCTCCCATCCCTCATTCTGTCATCATAGCCATCGTTTCCATAGCCATAGTTATTATAGCCACCATAATCATCAAAGCCACCATATCCTGGGCAGAGGACAGAAAGAAAGAAATCATTACATTAACACTCAAAATTCACAGAGCAATGCACAAGAGTCAACTTTTCAGTCTTTGGACACCCAGCAGTTTGCAAACAGCCTCTAAGACTATTAAACCTGAATTCCTGTAGAGTGCAGATGTACGTTTCCTTTTACATAGTAAAAGGACTGAAACATGCAAGTGAGATCCAGTTTTGCTGAAAGCAGAGTTTCCTTATTATTTCCATTAATTTTAAATACTAAGTCACATTTCTTAATACATCACAAGTAAAAAATTTCTTGGGAAGTGCATCAAACCTAATGGGAACTGCAGCTACTGCCATTTCTTTATTTCTCGACAAAGATGTCAGAAACACAAGACTGACAACAGAACCTCCATTCATTAGATAAACATACCACCGTCATATCCACCACCTCCTCGACGCATTCTGTCATACATACTTCCACGCCCAGCTCCATAATAACCCCCTCTTCCTCCTAATGGTCTATCGTATGGTCCAGGCCGTTGTTGTCCCATCATTCTTCTTGGCATGTCACTGAATCCTCTGATTTCGCTCTTACTACTTTTGAAGATTTCAATGTATCTAATAAAAGAGGATTTTCAAGATACCAATAAGCATACATGCAAAAGCTGTCTGAATATTAAAAAAAGGCCATACTATGTTTTCTGTAACTAGACAATCCAATAAGTGACTAGATACCATATAACTTAAGTTTCTCCTCAAAACCGTAAGAATCTTAAGTGTATAAAAAACCCCAAAACACTTTACAGTGGCAAAAATTACTATGTGAAAATTCTAGCTGTACAAATTAAGCATATATCATGTCTTTCCAGTATGAGAAACATACTGCTGAAAAACAGTGTCTAAGCTATAGTAGCATTAATCACAAATTACCCTACACAAGAACGACTGATACAATTTTCTGAGTTTAGCAAGCTACCCAGGCAATACTGTCTCCCCCACCCCCCAAGTCTATTGTATTTCCCAAGTTAACTTAGGATCAGTTACAGAAATTCTTAAAAACAGCCAGTTCCATATAATGGTCCCCACCCACCCAAAAGCATTACTGACCCACAACCCCCAAAAATAAAGATGTAACACCATCCCAAACTCTCCATCCCCACCTGTGCCCTATTCTTTCCTTGTGTTTCCCCAGAGCATTTTCTGCTATCTCCTTTGAAGCAAACTGCACGAAGGCCTCCCCTGTGCTTCTCCCCTGGTAGTCCAGCGTCAATGTTATCCCATTTGGCACGATTTCCAACCCTTTAACCCAAGGACAAATAACCCCATCAAGGGGAACAGTGTTAAAGGCTGAAACATTCCCATCTGTAGCAAATACTTAAATCATATCTAAACAACAAGAACGAAAAAGAAAACCACCTCATTTCCCCCATCACCCAACAATACAAGCCAGTCATCTTTGATTAAACATTTATGGATTTAGCCATACTTCTTTTCTGTTTAAGCTATGCAAAAATACAACCACCTAAGTTACAAGAAGAAAATATAGCTACCAGTCAAACAACTTAACTGATCCACTTGGATCATCAGCTAACATTCAGTTATCCCAATACACATAATGCGTTTACCATGTCGACAAAGTTAGAAATATATTGTGTATTTTACTACATCTATTGTTATTTCTACTTTATTTACATGACATAATTTTTATTTAAGATAAACTAATTTAACACAATCCCTCCCAATCCACCCCATTAATGGCTATAACAAATTAAAATGTACAACACATTGTGTAAAAGAAGTAAGAGAATCCAGCCACTAGACTTCGACTATACTAGAGGTACCTTGGAAAAACTGAACAATCTCTTCTTTGCTGCAACCAAATGGCAGGCCTCGAAGTCGTACCACTGTTCCATCATTAGTTGTATCATTTGGCCCATTATGTTTTCCACTCCAGTCCATCTTTTATTTAAAGCAAACCCTTCAAAAAAGGAAAAGAAAAAAGTAAAGAAAAATGTCGAAACATTCAACAACAACAAAAAAATCAAGTAGTTTGTCTTTGGATATCTAGTATTTGGGATAATAAGCTCTATTTCTATTACAAATTTAAAACTACTTTACCACATCTACAGCACATACACATCTAAACCTACCCCAAACTCTGACAGGGAACACCACAGTGTGTAGGGAGGGAAGCACGTGGGGAGGCACAGCACATAAAGCTCATTATTTACTCAAGAGTACATTCAACATCCAGCCTTTAAGGCTTTGTGTTCAGCGTTTTTTATTATTTAATTTCTGTTAAAGCATGTCATTTGAAGAAGGGGTAAGAACCACGCAACGGTTCCTGCGTGGAAACACAAGACCTTCCTTTGTCTGCAAACAAAGCGCCCAGCTGTGGGGGGGGTTGGTTTTGTTGGTTTGTTTGGTGTTTTTTTTTTTCCCCCGTCTTCCCTACCGGAAGCACCGGCGATGCACTAACTCGAGTTACACTGCCTGGGACAAACCGGGGACCCGCGGGATCACCTTGAGGGGCAGCGGAGTGTTGGCGCACCGAGACCCCAGCGGGAAGGTGAAGTCGGACCCGCGCCGCCGCATCGGCTCCCTCGCACCGCCCTGCGCCCGGGGCGGTGTTGGGAGGGGGTGGAAGGAACAGACAGGCGGCGGGAAGCGCGCCCGTGAGCGCTCCACAATGGGCAGCGCGGCAGTCGAGCCTTAACAGCCCGAGAACCTCAATGGCCACCCTCGTGCGCTGATCGACGCACTACCGCACACTTCCCCTCCGCGCCACAGTCCACCCGACCCGCGGCACCGACCACCGCCGAAATCGCGGCCTTGACCCGCCGCTCATTTCCCGGCGCCATTTACCGCGCCTCCTCGGTACCGCCCCCTCCCACCCCCCCCCTCGCTCCAGCCCAGCTCCCAACCGTGACCCGCTACCACCTCTCCGCCTCGGAGGAGCTGCTTGGCCTCCTCCCGTTCAACCTCAGGCCCCGCAGGAGTCCTCCACCGCCACTCGCCGCTCTCCTGGGGCCGCCGCCACCCTCGACTCCACCACTCAAAATGGCGGCCGCACTCAGGAACGAGGCTCCGCGGAGACGCGCCGCACCGCCCCCTCCCCCACGCCCTCCTCCAGGTCCGCCACCGCCCACGGCTCCCTCAGGAGGGACCCGGCCCCGACGCCGCGCCGAGAAGCGGGAAGGCCGGCTCGCTTCAGAGCCCGAGCTCCTACTGCTATCGCCACCACGGCCTGTCCAGCTAGAGCACATCATGCCCATGCTCCCTCCCCACTCACCGGAGACCTTCGCGCACGCCTCGACGTGCTCCGGCAGGAGCTTCTGTTGGGAAAGAAACTCCTCGCTGCTAACGAGCCAGCAGGCTCAAAATCTACGCAAGGGACGCGGGCTGAAGAGCGTCCCGACTACGCAAATATCGCGATAGCCACGCCACACTCCTTAGCCCCGGCTAGGCGCACTAAGCACATGCGCGCCTCCGCGGAGAAGCAATGACGCACGCGCGCGGCGGCCAGTGAGTTCCCGCCTATTCCTGTCACGGCTGCTGCTGAAGGGCGCTGAGGTGCATGCGCGCTAGGTCCGCAATGGGGCCGTCCTTCTGTTCGCTTTGGCGCCAAGCGGGCTCCCGGTTGGGAGCGCGCGCGCTCTGGCAGAAAGTGGCTGCGGCGCCTGCTCGAAATGGCCGCCCAGGGATCGCCTCGCACACGCGGCGGTTGCGTGGCCGTCCCCTCGAGTGTGTCGCGCAGGGTGGCCGGCTTCCCCGGCGTGGGTTTGGGAGGGCGAGCGGGTTCCCGCAGCGGTGGTGAACCCGCGGCAGGCCAGACCCAGGGGGAACCTCATAAATGCCGCTGGGAAGGACTCTGTGGTGGGAGTGTTCTGGAACTTGGCAGAAGTCGATACAAAAGAAGAGATTAAAAGCTTTTCTAAAGAATTGAAAATTGGCGCTGAGCGCTGGGGGTGTGGAAGGAGGCCTGTGCTCTTGTATGCGCTCGGAAGTGAGGAGATGGGGGCCGCTGGCTCTTCCTGGCGTTAGGGAAACATTAACTTGGGAGTTACGCTATCAGCTGGGGCTAAAAGGTGAGGAAGCACTTTGCAGAAAGCAGTTTAAATGGGCACAAACGACAATGCAAATCCCTGTTTTTACAGTTGATGCTTTTACAAACCGGCCGTTTTTTGGAAATCCTGCTGCAGTTTGTCTGCTTGAAAATGTAAGTTCACTTCCTCCTCAAAGTGCTCTGACCAAGTTGGTTCTAACTGGTACACTGTTGACAATTTCTACCAAATAGGTCTTATGTTATTTGCATAGTAACAGTTCATGAAAATGGTAAGAAAATGTATCTAGATCAGTCAGTGGCAGTAGCGTGAGCTGACTGTGAATCCTTTCTAGATGTTTCTAAGCCTAGATCTTGTACAATATAGCCTACTTATCAGCTGAAGTTATGAGTGAGAATATCTCACTTCAGAGGTATTTTTGGCTTCCTGAAATCTAAATACTTCCTCTCAGAATGAACTTACTTTGAAATTATGAGTCCTATTTGCATTTTCATAATAATTTTACTTTATTACATTAATATATCGTGGGGGCAAGTTACTTGCATGTTGCCTTTGGAACGTGGAGATTTTTAATTATTTTTTTTCTTCAGTACCTGTGGCTACAGGTTTTAGTGTCATAGTTGAAGCTGATGTTCTCATTCATAATTTTGTTCTAAGCTCCAAGAAAGCAAGGTGCAGCTAGTGGCGATATTTCTGTTCCATTCAGAGTCTCAGCAGATGTTTTACAAAATCCCTTGGGAGTAACGCAAGGATGGCAAAACGAGCCCTTTCTGTGTTTCAGAGATACCACAGGATGGCAGTAGTTCAGTAAAGTTCTATTATTTTTAATAACATTTTGGTTGGTCTTTGTTCTGGTTTAGTGTCTTTAGAATAACTGACAGAACTGTTGTTCTGGAATAAAGGAGAGGCGCTTGTTACTATAAAAAGAATGTTTTTTCACTGCATAGAATTCACTCTGCAAATACAGGTCTATGGTATGCATTAGTATTTGTGTCATTTCTATAGTATGGGATCTTTGGCTGAAAAGTATTAACATTATTAAGAGAAATAAGAATTCGCTCTGCTGACTTCAGTTATCTCTTAGAGGTTGAACCTAACCAAGTCCAAACAGTACTTTATTTCATTTGTGTTTCCATATTTATAGCCCAGATTCTTAGTCACCATAATTGTGGGGAAAAAGCAGTGGATCAAGGGTGAGGTAGAATTTTATACAGGCACTGCAACTCGTGTGTCCTGGGATCAATGTTCACTTTTGAACCCTTCTCAGGATTTAAAGCTGCAGCCAGTTAAAGCAGAATGTAGTGAGCTCCAGCCTTTTTTTTTTTTTTTTTCTCAGTTTATCTCCCCTCAGCTTCTTCTGACTTAGTGTATTGTTCCCATTGTCTAAAGAAGAATATCGAGGCCATAAGCACTGATCAGCCACCTTGGTCATTGCTGCAGCAATTGCTACGTAGCTCTTGCTGGCATGCATTGTTCAGAGTTATGAGAGTTGTAGTTATTTTTAGATTATGATAATAATGTCTTCTCAGTGTGACTTATAACTAAACAAAAAAGTATCATGTTCATGGAAAGACTTGAGTTTAGGTTTTTTGGTGATTTTATTTTCCATGTATTCCAAGAATTTGTAAACTAATAAGACAGATACTAGAAATGCCTATTTATCACAATGATTGAACTAGTTGTTCCATTTTATGCTTAGTTTGGTGTGTTTTTTTTCTTGTTTGTTTGTTTTTACTCAGTATTTTGAACTAAAAATGAATCTGTTTTATTATAATAGAAAATGAAATTACTGTGTTTATTTGACAGTAAGTTTGATTCTGCATTTTTTTGACCTGCTTTTAATTGGATTTATTGTCTCATCATTAGGACTTGGATGAAGATTTGCACCAAAAAATTGCAGTGGAAATGAACCTTTCAGAAACTGCTTTCATCAGAAAACTGCACCCTGGAGATGACTTTACTAAAAGTGAGTGGTTCTGTTTACCCACCACAATCTCTCACAAGGGAATAGGAAATACTGGGTGCATTTATAAGCAATGGTGGTAACTTTTAATACAGCTTAAACAAAATCTTGGAGTTGTGATATATCTCTTAAGAATATAATAAGCCTTTTGCACATGGATTCTTTAAAGTGTTTGTGCTCTACATGAAATCCATTTTACAATATACAGACATTTATTATTTATGAATTAAACCATTTGTCTTAGTGTCTTTTACTAAATAAGCAAGTTAGATATAGAAAATCTCCTGAAAATGGTATGCAAAGATCCTTCAATTAGTAGTTCCCTTACTATTAACAGTCTCTTGAGAGAACTTCTTCAGAAGAATAGAGATGGAACATGTTTATTCCACATGCACAAGACTGCTAAGTGAGTAGAATTGGCTGTTCAGGAAGTCATCACTGGGGTAACCATAAGCTATTATCTGAGTTTGTCACTAAATCTTGTAAGTAATCTGTGGAGCCAATACTGGAAAAGACAGGTTTCCAACAAAAGCAGGAAATCAAAAGTTGCCCAAAGGAAGCACATTAGGCTACTCTTTTAATTGGTTTGAAAGGAGAGACTTCACTGGTGTTCTTTGTGAGGGCGTGTGTGTGTGTGTGTGTGTATATATATATATATATATATATATATATATAATACGAGCGATGAAATGGAGGGACACTAGACAAGATAGAAAACAGACAAATACAGAATCCTTTGTGGATTAGTTTTCAGCTGAATCAGTTTGCTGAATCTGCTCACTTTGCAGTTGTGTGGTAGCAAGAGCCAAGGGGCTGAAAGTCACTAACCTGGATTTTGATTCTAGGTTAAAGTATTTGTGTTGGCACGCCCTTGCTTTGATATGACATAGTGGAAGAGAGGTGTGAACAGCTTTGGAGTTACTGGCTATATGAAGGAGGCCTTAGAACAGTATGCAAAGAAACTGTTCTTTATTGCTTGATTGTTCAGAGTGGGATTTTGTACATTCTCTCTTATTAAAGAGGATTTTCTTAAAGTTATAACTATCCTCATTTACTCCTATTGTTAATAAATTGGAATTTATTTTAGAAGTATTATTAGAAATAATAACACTTTTCATTTTTCATATGAACATTTTTTTCATGTTAACACCTTGCCGATACATTTAATACATTTATTTATTTTATCAAAGTGCTTTTGATGTTAATGGGACTAGAATTTGTGACATCAGACCCATGCAACTGCTAAAGAGTAGCACAATTTTTTCAAAGAAATATAGCAACTGAGCTACACCTGAGAATGAGGGCTGGTAGGAGCAAGAGTAGACCAGACACATCAGAATGTCATTCGTGAGACTGTCATCTTCTCTGGAACATAAGTGATGTCTTAAGGGCTCCTGGACAAAGTGTGATTTTGACAGGAGTATGAGTTTATGATCAGTGCATTTAATTAAATTTTAATTTAAAAATACCTGCATTATTTTAGGGTTATATTAATTTATGAGAGTACAAAATGTCTTCTTAGTCTGTGTATGACTGTATATCTCAACATTTCAGGCAAGTGTTCTGGGTCACACAGCTTGTCTGTTTCTGGTTGAGCATGGCTGACTCCATTTCCTCCTACTTTCAGCCACAATTTCCACTTGGGGGAGTGTATTAACACTAGGGCAGACTTCTGGGTTCTGTGTCTGCAGTTCTCTGCCACGCTTGTTAGTTTCATCCACTAGGTTTTGTTGGGATTCTATTTGTTTTCATTGGAGAGGGGACTGATTTTAATGCACTGGTTTTTCATGGGAGTGATGACAAGACTTGTTTGGGGTTTCCTTTTAGATATCATTTGTTTCTCTTGTGCCTTTTAATTGTGTTTGGTAATTATTCACTTGAAATATATTTTCATAAGCATTATCTTAAATGCTGTGGTGTAAGTCTGCAAAAGCTACAGGAAACCAACTATAGTGCACTTGGGTTCCAATTTTTTTTAAACAACAAATAGAAATACAATTTCTAGTGAAATGAGGAGTTAGAGACTTTTACCAGACTTGACTGGTGGTTTAAGCAAAATAATTCATAACTGATCTAGCTCTGATAAAATTTCAGTTATACCAATAAAACTATCTAACCCCTAAAGGGTATATGCAGCACAGAAAGTTGTCAGGGAGAGAAGTTCTATTTTGGGTAAGTATTAAATAGTTTTTTTATCATAGAGACATAAGAGAACATAGGACACCACCAGTTCAAGAAGCCAGTAAATGCTGTAAATTCCTGTTTTTTACCTGGAACAGCCAATAGATGATGATGTTTTCTCTCAAACCAGTTTTTATTTCTCCAGGTTGTTCTCCTGTTCTTTCAGTTAGAACACCCAGTGGCAGTTACCTATTTTACTTTCTCAGAATGTTTTTCCCCTTTTCCAGGTTATTTTTCACCTTTGCAGGTGATAAGTTGTTGTTACAGTTTGTTGTTTGTGTGCTAACCTATGATATTTCTGTATGTCTCCAGTTTCTAGCTACTCAGCAGCGCTTCAGAGGTGCCAGCTGCACTTCTCAAGACTGCCTCTGATTCACACTTTTAGTTCTTGGGCGGACAGTCATTTCTGCTCTGCAGCTCCTTTGCTTTTGTAACCAAGTAGTTTTCCTCTGTTAGTAGTCTCCTGTTGTTGACCTGACTGAAAAGCAATAGCTATTTCAAAAGTCAGTACAAAATAGGTTCCTAAAAGTGTAATTCCTAAATTATTTAAAGTGTGTTTAAGACCAAGACAGATTATAACGTGTGTTCTGATTAACTGAAATGTCATCATTCTACATAGAGTTTTGAGACTTCTTCAACTTAATAACACTAAATTTTATTTTCAAGGTTCCTGCTTTGGACTCAGATGGTTCACCCCAGCCAATGAAGTTCCTCTCTGTGGTCATGCTACACTTGCAGCAGCTGCCGTGTTGGTTCACATACAAAGTATGATTACAAGCTATTTATTACTGTAATTTTTTAGGAAATTTAATTAAAAAAAATCTCTGTTTTCTACAACAAAGGCAATTAAATATTTAGAACATTTAGAGAACACACATGGAGATACCTTAGGTATTGTCTTTTGCAACTGCTCTGTAATTACAAGGTTGTAGTCTGATGCCTCGGATTGGGATGCCCTGCTATTATTCTTGTTTAAGAAAAGTACTAAATATGCAGATGTCATCTGGGAGAGTTACAGTAGAATTTGATGAATGTGGAATATTGCTCTTTCTGTTTAAAGGAAATTTCCATTCGTTCTAGAAACACAGAGAAGAGATTCCCTGCAGTCACTGCTTTTATTAGCCTCAGCAGCTTATTTATTTAGTTGGGAATTTTGTCTATAGTTTTTTACTGTAGGTTTATTGTAGTTACTGTATTTTAGCTGCGTAACCAACTTCTTCTGACTGTACTGAGCTACTCTAAGAACTATAATATAGATTCCAATTCTTACGTTTGATAATGTTGCAATGTTTTTTCTTTCTAGAAAACAAAAATTCAGTTCTCACATTTGTGACGCTGAGTGGGGAATTAAGAGCCAGACAAGTGGAAGATCATATTGTCCTGGACTTACCGCTTTACTTAGCCTACCCACAGGTCAGTCAAAGTTTTATTCATTAAATGCTTTCAAGGAAATCATGTGTTTATGTTTACATGTGTATGTTAGTGTATCTATCTGTAGTTGAATAGATGCATACATATATATGTTCTGTTTTTTACAGTGTGGATTTTTTTTGTTTTATCTTCAGGTACTTCAGGAAGTAGAAGAGTTAATAAAGGTAAAAAATGAATCTATGTTTTAGAAACACATTTATAATAGCTATACTTATATGTTAAAATGGTTTAAAAGTGTTAAGATGGCATTGCTTAGTGTACTCTTGAAACACTAAGCTTTGAAGGTCTGAGTCATGCGGCCTGGGAAATTGAATTCTCAAAAATGCTGCAGTTGAACATTGTTTCCCACTACCATTGTTTAGAGTGTCAGTATTTCTCTGTGGTATTTTCAGCCTATTGTATGCATGTGAGGGCAGTCTAGTGTCCTTCCACTCTTCTGGATCCCTGAATTTCCTTCTGAGTTGACATGCACAGAGATCTTAGCACCTACCCATATCTATTCATGCACTTTGTGCATTTCTTTTTCTTGCTTGCATGTACTTTATGGCTGCATGAGGGACCTTTCATAAGCCCTGTTCTGGCAGGGAATGTGTTCTATGAAAATGTAGAGAAAATAGTATTCTGTATTCAAATTATGAACTTTTCTTGGTCTCCTTTAATTTTTACACCAGGCAGCTGTTGGTGACATGATTGTTCAAGATCTTTGTTACTCTCCTGACACGCAAAAACTCCTAGTCCGCCTCAGTGATGCTTATGAAAGGTGTCTTATCCTTTTTTTTTTTTTTTTTTTTTTTTTTTAAATCAAGTGTACAGAAATTGAGTCTGCCTGCTTAGCCTCCATTCCTTACATACTAGGCTGGTTTATCTAGTTTAAAAACAGGTGAAGTTTAAAAACTCTTATTTAAACTTCTGTGTTAGTTGTCTTCTAATGTGAGTTTATTGAACCTGAAGAGGGGTAGGAAACATTTTTAACAATGGTGTATTTTCCCCATCTATCTGAGTAAAAAAAATGATCCAGTAACGTAGCAGGAAATTTGGAGTCTTGTATCTCATATGAAGAAGCAATAGTTGCATAGCTTAGAGGTCTGCTTTGTGAGACAGAGTGCCACGGATTCTTACTCATATTTGACTGTAATCTGCTTACATGTACTTAACAGCATCATAAGTAGCTTTATAGCTATTTACTCCAATTCAGATTCCAGTTCAGATTCCAAAGCATTTTTTAATTTCAGAGATCTGAATTTCATCGTTAAGTATCATTTGAATATATATTGCCAAAACACAGCCTCATTAATCAGGCCAAGTTATCATTTTCACTTGAAGTTTGGCCTAACGTTTAGAGATTTGACTAGATGGGGGATAGAAATATCCTCAGCTAAGTACTTTTATTGTTACTCTGTCAGACTTCATTTTGTTGTGAGCATTCTGCAACTTCACAGACTTCAGACTGTTGTAGAGTGCTTTAGAATTCCATGAAGATCTGAATGGTGTTAGTTATTTACTTTCTCTGAAAGGAGATAGAGTGCTTACTATTTGCGTTCTGTAGTGATGAAATCTTCCTTTCAATTGTTAGACATTGAAACAAAGTGTGCCCTTCTGTAGCTAATATTCCAGCATGCTCTGTTTTCAGAAATAAATAGGAAATGCATGGCTTGAACTTCTTTCTGTGCCCACTCAGAGCATATTATATTCAGGGTGGTCTTCTGTCAAATTGCATTGAGAGGGCAATGCTAGGAATCTTGTTCTTCTAACATTTTACTGTGGTTATTTAGGGATTGTAGAGAGGATGACTTTGTAGTTCCTTTTCAATACTTAAATTTATGTAAAGTGAAGAATGTGGGCTAATAAAATTCTACGGTTATATTCAAGGTCTGTGTTGGAAGAACTACAAGTGAGTGCACAACGCTTTTGATCAGCTGAAAAGACAGGAAAGGTGAAAGGACTCATACTCACTCTTAAGGGAAATTCCAGTGGAAAACGTAAAGGCCATGATTTCTACTCCAGATATTTTGCACCTTGGTATGGAGTTCTGGAAGACCCTGTTACAGGTATGTGTTTGGGAGATAAGCAACTCTTACTCTTGTTTCAGTTCAATTAAAAGGTTCTTACTAAACTTTGTTAATCTCGTTTTGTACTTTGGAGTCTCTCTTATAAATGTCTGTTTTATATGGATAGCAGGAGTGTGCTCATTAAACTGAAAACTTTCAGGATTGATGCCAACTCTTGCAGAAAGAATCAGCTTCTTATTACCATCAGGCCAGATATTCCTGTATGTTTTTTCAGGTCTTTTCCCTGAAGTATTCCAATTAAAATGAAAGGCTAGTTTAGTATTGAATGAGTATTGCAGTAAAAGTTCATATCCGCTTCTGTTGGTGTCTGTATTTATTTTTGTACTTCAGCTGAGCTGTCCTCTAGTTTCTTGACACTTATTAGGGATATTCATGCCTATGAATAATAATAACTCAGCCAGTTGTGTATTTGGGGACAGGAAGACTTGTTCTCTACCTATTCCACACAATATCCACTCTGAGTGGATAGGTGTGATGATAGTTGTTACAGAATGATATTTGCTTAGGTACCAGTAAATCACAGGTTAATTATTATTCCTGGGTCGGAGCAATCCCAGGCACAGCTATGGGTTGGGCAGAGAAGAGATCCAGAGCAGCCCTGTGGAGAAGGACTTGGGGGTGTTGATCGGTGAGAAAATGAACATGATCTGGCAGCGTGTACTCGCAGCCCAGAAAGCCAGCCGTATCTTGGGCTGCATCAAAAGAAGCATGGCCAGCAGGTCAAAAGAGGTGATCCTGCCCCTCTGCTCTGCTCTTGCAAGACCTCACTTGGAGTATTGTGTGCAGTTCTGGTGTCCTCAACATAAAAAGGACATGGAACTGTTGGAATAAGTCCAGAGGAGGGCCACAAGGATGATAAGGGGAATGGGGTACCTCCCATATGAAGATAGGCTGAGAAAGTTGGGGCTGTTCAGCCTGGAGAAGAGAAGGCTGTGTGGAGACCTCATAGCAGCCATCCAGTATCTGCAGGGGTGCTATAGGAATGCTGGGATGGACTACTCATTAGGGGCTGTAGTGATAGGACAAGGGTTAACGGGTTAAAACTTAAGCAGGGGAAGTTTAGATTGGATATAAGGAAGAAATTCTTTCCTGTTAGGGTGGTGAGGCACTGGAATGGGTTGCCCAGGGAAGTTGTGAATGCTCCATCCCTAGTGGTGTTCAAGGCCAGGTTGGACAGAGCCTTGGGTGGCATGGTTTAATGACAGGTGTCCCTGCCCATGGCAGGGGGATTGGAACTAGATGATCTTAAGGTCCTTTCCAACCCTAACTATTCTAGGATTCTATGATTCAGCTGAGAACTTGGTCAAAAATGTTCATTAAATGTTTTGCTAAATAAAGAGAAAATTTCTTTGTTGGAATAATGTTAATTATTCAACACTCCTAGCAGAAATAAAGGTTTACAAAGAAATAAAAGCTATGAATTTCAGTTATTTCTTATTCTCAGTCCTGCATTCTTGATAAAGCTGGGGACAGAGTCTGGTAGATGTGTGTGATCCCAGAGCTTGTTCCTAAGGATTTCTGGGAGGACTAGTATTGATATTTTCCCTGCCTTTGGCAGGTGGGTTGGAATGATCTTAAGTTGCTTTCAAGCCCTAACTATTCTACGATTCTATGATATGTAGGAAAAGCCAGAAGTTTCTGGAATCTCTGAGATTCTTCTTGGCTTGCTGTTGCTTCTCTCCCATCTTTAAGTGTCCTTCTTTTATAGAAACCAAACTTCTTATTGTATTGCTGAAGTATACTTTTAACAGTGGTATGGCTTTGTATGATACTTCTTTTGTAATGATTTCTTAGTAATACTACATGTCCTGGTGTCTTTGAGTCTTGATAGTTACTTCACAGTAGGGTTTCCAGAAGAGTGTCTTTGCTCCTAGCTGGTAAGGCAGACTGAAGCAGCATTTCTAGCTACGAATATGAGAAGTCATCTTAACTTTTTAAGCCATCTGCTGGTCAGGAATGAAAAAATTGGTCTTTTAGTTTTCAGAAGCTGTGGTGAGACCTTACATTTTTCCTAGAGTTACATTCTGATACTTACCATCATTCAAGACTGAAAAAAAACTGAGGTTTTGTTGTGAAAACTGTTAGAAGAGGAAATACTTTTGTTTTACACAATGACTTCTATTCACCTGTTCTATTTTTAAGAAATATCTAAAAGTCTATTCACATTTTTGATGGAGAGCAGTTTGGATTTCATTGAACAGCGTCATGTTTATATGAAAATATTTCAAATTTAATATTTTGAGACTCTGTTATTAGGAAACTTCACTTTTGGTAAACAAATGAGTACTTTGGATCAAGTATTGTAATTGGTACTATTTGTGTGTTTGAATCCCTCACCAGGCAAAATCTCCTTTGAAGCCAGAGGATGAGGAAGTAGTACTGCTTTATCATAAATAAATTAAATGATAAAGCTTTAAGTTCTGTTTGCTGTGCAAACTCTCAGATGTTTTGTCCTAAACACACATGTGGCACTTGATTTGTTAATGGCGTTTAGATTTTGAATGTTCTTACTCTACAAAGTAGTGCTTCCAATTTAATTCTGTACTTTATTTTCCAATTTCTTTTAAGGATCTGCCCATGCTGTCTTAAGCAGCTACTGGTCGGAGCAGCTGGGGAAGAAAGAAATGCTTGGTAAGAGAAACTCTTTTCTTGCAAAGCTGCCCATTTATGTAAAAGCTACACACTAGAAAAGGAAAAACTTACATTATTACTAGAATACAAACTGTAACAATAACTGCCTATCCATTTTCTCAATATAAGTATAATATTAGACATAAGGAAAAAGTTCTTTACTGTGAGGGTGGTGAGACACTGGAACAGTTTCCCAGAGAAGTTGTGCATGCTCCCTTCGTGGAAAAGTTCAAGGCCAGGTTGGCTGGGGCTTGGAGCAACCTGGTCTAGTGGAAGGTGTCTCTGCCATGTCAGGGAGATTGGAACTAAATGATTTTAAGGTCCCTTCCAACCCAAACTATTTTATGATTCTATTATGTAATATTTTGTGTGAAGTAATATTTAAGAAATCGCTTTTTTTTCCTACCCACCAACATGACATGAAGTGTCAGTTTCTGGATTATAATTCTCTGTGGTTATTTTTTGATCTCTGATTTTGGATTTTAGTTCTTTGGACCTTTCATCATAATTGAAGCTTGGCGAATTTCAGATTATGTTGTTTATGTGTGTCCTGAGTTCAACTGTAGCAGTCATTTTTTTTCCTTCTTGGTAGCTGGTGCAGTGCTGTGTGTTTGACTTTCAGCCAGGGAACAATGCTGATAACACCAACATTTTTAGTTGTTGCTAAGTAATATTTGCTCTGATCAAGGACTTTTCGGTCTCGTACCCTCCCAGTGAGGAGGGGCACAGGAAGTCGGGAGGGAGCAGAGACAGGACACCTGATGCAAACCAGCTAAAAGGGTATTCCATACCATAGCACGTCATGCCAGTATGTAAACTGGGGGGAGTTACCTGGAAGGCCCAGATTGCTGCTCAGGTTTGTCTGGGTATTGATTGGCAGGTGGCGAGAAATTTTATTCTCTCCCCTTGTTATTTCCCTTATCATTTTTATTATTGGTTGTAGCAGTAGTATTGTGTTATACCTTAGTTACTGGACTGTTCCTATCTCAGCCTGTGGGATTTACACTCTTTTGATTCTCCTCCCCATCCCTCCAGGAGCCGGAGGAGGAAGGAGAGGGGGGACTGAGAGAGCGGCTGCATAGTTCTGAGTTACTGGCTGGGCTTAAACCATGACGATGTGTTTTGATGGAATTTTATCTCTTAGTCTTTATGGCTTGCATTTTGGGTATTTGGGACAGGTATCAGTATTTTCATTAAGCTAAAGGGGGGCCTACAGGGAAGTTGGAGAGGAACTTTCATGAGGGCAAGTTGCAATAAGGCAAGAGGGAATGGTTTTAAGCTAGAAGAGGGTAGATTTAGGTTAGGTACAAGGAAGAAGTTCTTCATTGTGAGGGTGGTGAGACACTGGCATAGGTTGGCCAGAGAAGTGGAAGCTGCCCCATTCCTGGAAGTGTTCAAGACCAGGCTGGATGGTGCTTTGAGCAGCGTGGTCTAGTGGAAGGTGTCCCTGCGCATGCCAGCAGGGTTGGAACTGGATGAGCTTTAAGGTCCCTTCCAACCCAAACCATTTTATGACTTTATGAAATCTGTGATCTTTGCCATAACTTGGAGGTTGGGGTGGGGGAAGGGGAGGAGAGAGATCTCAACATATTTTCTGAAGAGAAGAAACTGTCTTTTGTAATGCATCCTTATGGACTGTTTCTCAGAAGTTTTTGGTATTTTCAGATGTTAATATGGATTCTGAAACTCTTCCATGCCGTCTTACAGACACTGCTTCTTTAAGTAATCAGACAGGAATTCTGTCTGTATTTTTAAATTATACTTTCTACCTCTTTTTCATTTTCATGTATTTTGTATGTACTGTGCCATTTGCTATCTCAGAGAAACTATCTCAAGCAGCAGGGCAGTTGGTACTGTAATCAGCTTCTCTGATGTGTTAGTGAAAAAAATGTCCTATCTTCCCATTCTTTTTCTATCTTCTCATTCCCCTCCCCCCATTTCATACATTTATGTCCTCAACTTCTGTGATAGAAATCATACAAAACAGATTTAAAGAGAATAAGACATCTGATCAACATGTGGTCTCTATGTGTGTTTGTGAGAAATAACTTTTCTTTACGTGCATGTGACTGGGGAGTATCATGTGGTAGTGGGGCGAATTCTATTACTAATGAGATTATGTGGAAAAGATGGCTGCCAATCAAGAAGATTCCGTATTACCAAAGATTAATAAGAGCATCTTTTGACTTTTTAGAAACCTCTCTGGTAGCTTCTGTAATATCCGATGTGTTTTATTGCAAGAATAAAGGAACATTTTCTTCCATAAAATGAAAGATTTGTTAGTGCCAAGATGGATCCCATATGAAATAATAAATAAGGAAATCATATAAAAACAAGGAAAGATATTGTCACATCGCTCTGGGTATTGTGACCTCTAGGAGGAGGTCAGTTGCATCTCTGCTGAAGTATCAGACATAATTTCCTGTGCTTGAGTTCTTTTCCTAGTTTTAATAGACCAAATCTTCAAACAACATCTAGCCCCATCAACAGCAAAGAATTTTCCAGTCTTTTTACAAGGTGAAATGCTTTGTGATCTTTGTTGAAATGATGTACTTGTCCTTGAATTTAAGCTGAATGTTAAAGCTTGGTATCAATCCTTGTCTTCTTTCATTTGAAGAGTGCAGTATTTAAAAGAAAAATATTCTCTCAGATGTATAGACTTTCATAATTGCTAATGAATGTAATATTTAGCAACTGTCTCTGCATCTAGCCCTTCACATAGTTTTCACATTTCCAAGATAACATTTATAAAGATGCCTAAGGAATTTAATAGAACCAAGCAGATTATGGAGGATTTTCCAGGTTATTGTGAAGAAAAGTGGCTTTGTGCAGGACAATTTTTAATCAACACAGTCTGTCTTATCTTATAACTTTTCAATCTCCTCACTTTTTTTTTTTTTTTTTTTAATATGTGAGGAAGCTGCTTTAGTAAATGTACCTGTATTTAAATTATTGCTAGTTTGAATTCTCATGAAGTGAAGTTTTGCAGAGTTGTAATCATGGCTTTCCTCTTTCCCAGGTAATCTCAGCATATAGATTGACCACGTCACATTTATACACAAGTGTAACATTTCTGTTTACTTCCAGACATAGGGTGACATATCAGTATTTCTTTGTGAGAGAGAATAAGTCAAATATAATTTTCATATAAGCTTTTTTGTTTTTTTTTTTTCACTTTTTTTTATTGCCAAGAAACAGGCAGCACTGGCTCCGCATTTAAAGACAGAAAAAACTCAACAACCAATCAACGAACCTCTGAAGATTTAGAATAATTGATCTCTTATTTACATCTGCCATCATGAGGGAAAGTTTAGCTGTGTATTCACACTTGGCAATAATAATTGATAAAATTTAGCATGGTCTGGATCTTTATAAGAGTTCAAAATACTAGGTTGAAGGCATTAATCCATACCTAGATGTGCTGAGAAGTTAAAAGCAATAACCAGTGGTTCTGTAAATGGAAAATATAGTATCTATTTCAATCTGTTTCCACCTTTTTGGAGTGTTTGCTTTGTTTAGGAATCTAATATTCTGTTAAAAGGAAGAATATTCTTGTCAGCTGTGGCTGAGAAATTGTTTTAAAGCTCACAATATATATACACCATTTGTTAAACGGTGAGGTCCTGTGCTCTGTTGGAATCTGAATACAGTCACTACCTAATTTACAAATTGGGGGTTTGTCGGGGAAAAACCTGCCCATTAGCTTTGAACAAATTTTGTAGTTGTTAAGTCCATTGAGTGAGGAGACTGCAGATGTTCCTGCCTCTTCATTGGTTTACAATCTTTTACAAAAACAACACTATATGAAGCTCAAGCCTTTGCTTAATGCATCTGAATGAGATAATTTTCGGATCAAGTAGTTGTGCAACTAAAATTGGACTACTGAAACGAGTCTATAGACTCAACCTGCTAAGTGAGCATTATTGTCCTACCTGTTATATGACTTAACAGTTCAGGCAAAAGTTTAGTTCTGTACTTATTTACAAGTGGAAGGCTTTTTTCTACTTAAACTTTGTCCAGCTGCATTAATTTCTATATTCAGGATTATATAAATCAACAGGTGGTCTTGTCTGTGTAAGAATTTGGTCTTAGTTTGTGAAAACTGAAGCAGCATGTGTTTCTTTGTAGACTTTTTCTACTGCCTGCATGAACTTTATTTACCTATTAGCCAAATGCATCCTTTGAACCTAGTATCTACTTTCAGATGTTCAGCGCTAGTAAAGTGATTCTTCATTCTTACGCAGATAATACTCAGTGTTCTTCCTTCTTGCCTACAGAAACTGCCTATCCTATGAATGGGAGAATTCTTAAAATCTATATAGTAGGTGTAAAGGCTTCTTTAGATAATACAAAGGAAACTTTGGCTACATCAAAGTATCCTTTGCTAGTTGTATTAACTAGCATTTTTGTCAGACTTAATAAACAAGTTGTAGTCGAGATAGATGCTCAGCTAATCTTCATCCATAAAGACAATCCATCCAGGGTGTCCTAGAACAGTTCTTGCCCTAGTGCTTCTTGGTTTCTGGAGACAGAGGCTTCATTTCCATGAGTGTTTCTGGATTTTTAAAATAATTTGTGATAGATACTATTTTTTTAACCATGGATTCTTGTTTCCATTTAGCTTTTCAATGTTCCCGCTGTGGAGGAGAGTTGAAGATTTCGTTGCGTAATGATGGAAGAGTTGACATTGCAGGGCGAGTTGCTATTGTTCTAAAAGGAGACCTGACTTTCTGAAAAAAAAAAAAAAGCCACAAAAAACTCAAGCAAAAAAACCTCCCCCCCCCAAACAAACAAAAAAAGCCCCAACAACCCACTATGAAAAAATTGACACTAATCTCCCACACTTTCAAATAATTTGTGTTACACTGATTATACGTTAGTTCTAAGCAGTGAATTACCACTGTCCTCAAAAGTCTTTGATTACTTACTGTTCATTTAAAAAAAATTATTGACAATATTCCAAATCTTCAAGATTCTTAGTATTATTTTCTTCACTTTTCTCTTGCCATTTCATATGTACACTGACCTCAAAAAATGTCCAGTGACAAGAGTCTTGGTTTTCTGCTTGTAAATGATTCTGTTCTTTGTTTCAAGATTCCGTGTTAGAAACCGTTCCTGCTTGAATTGTAACCTTCTGTGATAAAATAATCAGCCTTCTTCCATTCATTTTTCCATTTCATTTTCCATGAAATTTGACTATGTACTTAAAAAAAAAACCAAACTCTGCCATATATTGAAATGATGCTCATGTGTTTATTAATTTACTTAAAATATGAAAAAGTATAAATGGTTTAGAAATGTGCTTTTATGAACAGTAGTTTTCAGACATGAATGGTATTGCAGTGGCTCATAGTACTGCTGCTTAGCCTATTTTTAATTAACAGATTTAGCAGAAGGATTTAAGAGATTGACATACTGATGCACATAAAATTGGTTAAAAATTGCAATAAAATTTTATTGGTCACAGCGATGTAATCTGTGTTTCAGAGACTGAAGATCTGTAATTTTCTTCGTGAAGTTTACTGTTTCAGATTAATCACTTTTTCCTTTAGTGTTCTGATCTTTCTCTGGATTTATTGGCAATATTGAATTGTTTCAGTTAATCTAGCTAAAACTCTGTTTTCCTATTCAGTTCGCTTTTCTGCTAAGCTTTGCATTAGTTCTTTTTCTTTGCAATATTTCAGCATGAAATGTTTTGAACTCAAAGGCATTTTCATACTGTGGGAACAGCTGGATGTCTATAAATGATGAGGATCTTAGTTGTGCCTGTTTCCAGTTATTTTGAATTTTATCATAACTTCTTACATCTTAACTTAAGCCTAAGAATCTGGAGGCAAGTAACAGTGAGAAAATCCTATGGCTCATTTGAAATAAAAGTTTCTAGCTCCTACTGCTACACAGAATATATTAAAAATGTGATTTAAATGCACTACAAAACTCAAAAGCTAGGTGGCAAGCAAAAGGAATTTCAGAATGGAAAATGCATGTTCTTTCCTATTGAACCTTGCTGAAGTTCATGGGCCTGAAATGGGTTTGTAAACATGGACTCATTATCAAATGTAAGACGTGGTTATGGAGACAGCTTAACAGCAGTGTTGCAATGTCATTTAGCAGCCACCTTGACTTTGCTGTCTTACAAAGCAAACTGGTCACTTCCTGGCTATTACCTGGATCTTCTCCAGGAGTGATACTGCAGGCTTGTTCTGCGTTTGCTACTTCCTGCTGGTTTATGCAAAGCGTGAATCTGAGATTCTTCAGGGAAAAAAAAAAAACAACCAAAAAAAGCTTCTTTAAGAATATAAATGAACTAAAGAAGCAATTATTATTCATCCACATTTAACAAATAGTACAATTATTTTTTTCTTTTAACTCTAGGGAAATAATAATGAACAAAGCCCAGTAAATTTTAAATATACTTGCTATCTAAATATCCTGGCCCAGCCAATATCTCTGCTGCTTAGTGCATTTTTTTTATGGTTTACTGCTACTTTGTCTCTGTTTCTGTTCAGGATAGAAAAATCACCAGAGCTCAGGTGGGAGATTATGCAGTAATGTGTTTGTAATCAACAGATTAGTTAATCAGCCATGATTTATTAATGATGAATTAATTATACCTGATTGTGCAGTTCTGCTGCCTAAATGGAGCTTTAAAGGAGTTATTTTATTAATCATCATTGTGCTAATTGCAGACACTTACAGAAGGATTGCTAATTAAACATGCAACCATATGCAAAATAAGCAAGGCTGCTGAGAGTGGCAAGAAAAAGAGCACTCATTTTCTGAGTAGCAACTTTACTTTGATGAACTATAGTGTAGTTGACCTGATGATTGTAATTACCTAGACATGCTTTAATACACTGCAAATTTTCGGTCAACAGTAAAGGAAATGAATTGTGACAAATTCTGTTCATCTTTCCTAGTGCAGAAAATAGGTTGCGCACTCTTCAAATGAAATCATTTGAGATTTGTATGGCCTTGTTTTATGTTTTCATGTGAAGGATTTGCCTGGTGTTTTTATTAGCTGTATATTGTTAAACTAATTTAACTATCTTAGCATTCAGGATCTTGCTCAAATTTAAGTTACCTTAGCACCAAATGATATGTGTCACTTGAAATGAGAATTCAGACTCAAAATTGCATGAGTCACATCAAGAAAAAAAAAAGAGCACGGGGATGTTTAAGTTAATTTCCAAAAGCCAAAGTCTGCACAGAAAATACAGAAAGGAAACAATACTTAACAGTAGATTTCTGAGAAGAGACTACTATAATTTAAATAAATACTAGTATCATGTGATCTTCAAGTAGCACAATTTTAGGTCCTTATAATGCTAAATACAATCTTTGAGTGCTGTGGGCTTCATCATAGTGGACTTTCCATGGACTCTTCTTAATGCAGGTTGCTAGACCTTCCTCATTAATTAAATAAAACTTCTTTAAAAGAGAGAATTTTCTGGAACTGCCTGTATAATATCACAGTTAGTAATGCAGAAGTTTGGAATTTAATTTTTTTTCCTAAGAAAAGTTAACTTGTACTGTTTTGATTAAATTAAAACGTTGAATCGCGAGTTAAATTTAAGTGAAGATACTAAGGGGAAGGCTCCAAAATGCAGTGTCTCTGGTTAGTGTTTCTGGTGCAGAGGATTTGCAGAACTTTTTGTGCTGGTCTCTTAATAAAAAGGGCAAATTATGTGAAAGGAAAATGCAATTCCAAAAATTCCCATGTGCTTGGGAGTTATTTATCATGTGTCCAGTGACCAACAGGTCATTAATCTACAGGTCACTGTTAGTTTTGAGTAAACCTGTGGCTAGATCCAACAGGTGAAACATTAATATTTGAATACACGTTTGCTCATTTTACTTCTTTGGTATATGCCTTTGCAGTGCCATACCTCACGTAGGGGTCAGGAAGAAAATACATAACCCTGAGGAAGTAAGCAAAAAAAGAAAAAAAAAAATAGAGCAACATAACCCATAAAAGTTTTTTGCTGTGGAATGAATGTACAGATTAAAGGGATGAAAATAAACTGGGAAGCCATGTTTTAATTTAATAAGCCACTTAACAGATCTACTTAAAGTATTCATAAAAATACATTGCATTTCTTTTGTATTATCTAGATGAGTGCAGACAGCAAGTTGTTATCAAAGTTGGAAAATTTTGCGAAAGGAAATAAAAGATTTCATGACAGCAAGAGGTCACAGGGAGGAGCCATGTGGTCCGTAATGGATAGGAAGGGAAATTAGCAACAGATGAGGCAGTTATTTCTGGGAAAGGGAAAATTTCTTTGTCTCAGTATTTATCAGAGTGACAGGGAAACATGCCAGAAACAGAGGGAACCCTCCCAGAAGTAAAAAAAAGTAAACTAAATGAAAATTAGGGTGATGCCAGATCAGGCAAACATTAATTAATTTCAATTAAAAATCAGAAAAATCTGCCAATTAAGCAGTTTGATTCTGACTTCTGTTCCTTCTGAGGAGTGGATTTGTCTTTAATTACCAGTCTTAAACAAAAAGAACAAAGGAGAACCAAAGTATTTTTCTCAATTGCTGAGTCACTGTCCTTTTAGTTCCTAAAATTTACAGCAAAATATAGTTAAAATTTTTCAAAAGAATGAGAAAGTGGAATAACAAAACCCAGTGTGTTAGCAGACAGTAGAAAAGTGTGATTTATTTTTACTTATTTGTACTAGAGGTCAGTTTTAGTGTAAGACCTTTAGTTTAGACTGGTGATTTATTTAGTGAGAGGTTCGCTTTTACTTGTTTTTGCCTCACTGAATGGCAAAAGAGAATAATCCCCATTTTTTTAATGTCATGAATCACATAAGCATAAGTTTTAGCCACTTTCCAGTGTTCTGTGACTTTTTTGGTGATACACCCAAACCAAGAAACCACTTTCCCGTATGTAATTTTTGTCCCCTTAGGAATCACAGGATAGATAAAATACATTAAGCAAACTCAGGAAAATTTGTCAAGAACATTTCTAGAGTTGTAAAGAGGAAGGAGTTTGATGGAGATTAATTATGTTTGTGAGGAGCAGGAGAAGGAGGTGTTATTCCTGTGTAGAGTCTGAAATATGTCACCATAGTTAAAACACTTACGGGCATACCCTCTTGTTTTGCCACTAGTTGGGAGTTAATGATGCAAAGACAGCTTGTCTGATCTGGGAGTCAGGTTGAGAGATGTTAGGCTAGAGAAGATATTATGTGGATTATTGTAGAGCTGGAGCAGGGTATGAAGTGTAGCAAAGCCAGGAACCTGAATTTGAATTCAGATATATTCTCTACTGATCTTTTGCTATGCTTTGAATCCAAACCAAAGGAGACCTACCAGAGTTCCCATCCCACCAAGCTCAATTCAGGTGGGAAATTCCATCTGGAATTCTTGAAATTTTCTTTTGTTTCAGAAAGCATCCTTTCTCCATAAATATTTATGGCTATAAACAGAAATAAATTATCTTAACAACTGTGATAATTTTAGTCACCCATATTCAGACAGAAATGGCTCCTTTCAAAAGGAAATAGCTGGTTTTAAAACCATCTTTTGTACTTTAATCTGTTTATGTGTAGCAGCTTTCTGAAGATGTGTCTGATTGACTTACATATTTAACATCACAGTCTGTATTCTTACTAATGTTAGGAGTGTGGTTACTACAACTTTCAGAAACCTTTCAGCAGTTAATAGCAATAATAAAGTACCCTCTTAATAAACTACAGGCACTTTCTCAATAAAGTTACAATTTCAGCAGAAAAAAAAAAAGGTAGATTAAAGG